GTCTCTCGGAAGTCCCGTTCGCGGAAGGCGTACGAGGCGCCTCGTAGAAGGCGAACCCTTCAGCCTTCTACGAGGCGAAGAAGGCGAAGGGTTCCGAGACTTCGGCTAGAACAAGCGCAAGGCGCACCGGGCTTTAATATAGCCAACATTCGTCCAGAGCAGTCGCGCTGCACCACGCTACGCCACTTCCAGACGATCCCTGAAAGTCTCCAATCCTCCAGCATGGCAAGCGTCACCTGCTACTAATGCTGGATTCCTGCCGCGGCGTTAAAGCAGACGCCCTCCGGCTGGCACCTGGCCTTGGGAGAGACGTAATGGTCACGACGAGCCGATCCGGAGACTAACGCTGGTGAGCTGGTGAGCTGGTGAGACTAACGCTGGTGAGAAGCGACGATGGCGGACGGCCTAAACACTCACACGTTTTCCACCCACTTTGAGTGGGCGCGTCACCATGTTGGAGCAACCGATAGTTGCCGTTGCGCCGCATTCCAAGTCCTTTGTGCCGAATATCCTCCTGAAGACGCCCCAGAACAGTGCTGTGGGACTCGGCATTGGCAGTCTGAGCCTAGGGACGAATTCGCGGTGCAGGACTCCGCGAACCTCGACAAAAAACGACGAGCATGCTCCTGATCGCGCTAACGGCGATTTCAAAATTCGAAATTCGTGATATCCGTGAAAACCACTTGCAAATCGTGGACGGGTCGCCCTATCAGTTGCCTATCGGGAAAAATGACGTACTTACCGGTATTGGCGATCACAGTGGCCCAAGTTCAGGGTTACGACTTAAAGGTACCGGAACACTCACGCACTCCCAGCTATGGCATCTAGAATGCGCGATGCCCAGGTGTGACTCCCAAATATAAGTGGCATCCAAGCACCCTTGACACAGCAGACGAGGTCAAGTCTTGCTAAATGACAGGAATATCACCGGATCTGTACTTCAATGGCATCCGCAGTGTAATCAACACCAATATCATGGGGTTAAAAATTATTTATAAAAGAAAGCAAAACCACAAAACGATGTAGGTTTTGCACCACCCTTCGTAACTATTCCGTAACATAGTAAAAAGCACGTGCGCATACTGGTGCCCTCCATAACGTCCATGGGCGAGGTGCACTGGACGAGATCTGGTGGCGGTTGCATTGGCCCCAACCATAGGCACACAGAGCAGGGCACGTGGGCAGTAAAACGTCACGAAGCACCCTACTGCAAGCAAAGTGCTGAGCTGTGAAATATGCGGGAGGTTGCAGACTGAGAACACAATCTTCCATAAAAAATGTCGGAGCTGTACGCCACGTCCGGTCGGCGCTCGCCCCTTGAACACCACACGTGACCATCCGCGCGGCCCGTCCATTGTCCGACCCGACCCGCAGCGCTTAGCCGCGGCCCTCAGCGGCGCGCAACAGACAGCCGGCCGGTGACGTCACCGGTCTGTGATCCGCGGCAAGCTCAGCACTGTTCAGTGTGACCCTGTCACACTAAGGTGACCTAGCGTTCAGGGTGACCCGTGTTCGGGATGACCTTGTCGAGCTGGGATGACAATGTTGCCGGTTTGTGAAGCTTACATAGTACCAATAGCAAACACGGCAACCACGATCCCGTCAACGACACCAAGGCGTTGTTTTCCGTTTCGCCGTAACGCCGTCTGGTCGCCGGCCACGCGTACCATTGGTTTGTAGCGGTCGGTAAGGACACAAACAGGTTTCGCCTTGTCAGCACCCGTGAGGCTCAACGTCATGCCAGCAGAACCGGCGGCGGATGATCGGTTTCAGTGAAGACGAGTTGGTGGTTAACGCGACGGTCGGGCCTGTCGGAACGGCTTACCCCGACTTGGGGATAACTGCGAGGTGAGAGTTGACGGCTCGAGGTTTGTCAAAATGCTTCCAACCTGGGCTTGGGACATTTTACGGCGCCGTTTGTCCGCACAACGTTAAGTCAGTCCAGCGTTTCGTGGACCGGCATGGGACAAGCAACGGCAACGTGCGTGCAGAAAGCAATCGGCCACGTGATGCCAAAGCCGTGCGGAATACAAGCATACGCCTTTAAGGACCCATACAAATGCGTCTTGTTTATGTACCGCATCGTGCGATCTCCACATTTTCTAGTCGCCACAGGCCTATCAAAGCAGGAGCAGAAGCAGATCGAAGTGGAGGCCTACAAAAGTGTCTTTCAAAGCGCAAGTATTTTGGGAAGATACTGGTCACAATGAGTTCTTAATTCAATGACATCAACCCCTAATATGTCAGGACGCACTGGTTAAACGAGGCTATCAAGGAAGCTTGGCAATATTGGCAAAGTTCGACAACTTGCTCAGGCTGTGCCCATCATCACGCGTGTGACGAGTGATGCGCCTCGTTTTGTCAAGATAGCCAATGCTTGCTTGATAACGCTGTTTCACCAGCATCTTCTGGATGTCAAAAGTCAGTTATTGTCACAGTAAGACCTCGCAACTCACAACGCAAAACAAAAAACGAGCCAAACGCCTTTCCCACTCACACCAAGGGCACCGGTCCCCGTGACTGGGGCTTTTCATCTCCACGACGTCAGTCTCATGCCAATCCCCCGTCTCCGTCGGCCGGCAGTACTCCGCATCGCTGCCACACCTGGCAGCCGCGGCCGGGGCCCGGTCTTTACTCGTGCGCTGCAACTTTTTCCCTTTCAAGAATGCCACATCTCCGCGTTGATCGAATGGTGCAGGTTACAACTTGGTGATACTACAAGGTGGTGAGCAGGAAGGCGCTCCTGATCAAAAACATTGCATGCAACCGGTTGCAGAGGCACAAGTTTGCCAAAAGTGCGGGCTGGTCGGTCCGATCTGGGTTTCAAAAGTCTGAATGAAGGCAACAAAATTTCAGGCAGTTGATATGGAGGGAAGCTCGGCCCCAGCCATTTGATATGGAGGGAAGCTCGGCCCCAGTCGGTTGATATGGAGGGAAGCTCGGCCCCAGTCAGCTGATATGGAGGGAAGCTCAGCCCCAGCCAGTTGATATGGAGGAAAGTTCGGCCCAGTCTGGCTGGTATTCTTGTGACAAAAGTTCAAAGACATAAACAAATAGCGTGTGATGCTGCTTAGGATTAACCCGTGTAGATATCGGAATATGATAATTTCACTTGACATGCCATATGATTGAAAAATCGCTCCTCGCGATCTGCCTGAACTGGAATGTGTTGCTATTACATGCCATTACCCCGTACCTAAAGCACTATGATACACTGTTTACCAAATTGATTTAGACAACAACGGTCACAAAACTTGAACGTCCAACTGCAATCTTCTATCTGGATCCCAACTGCATCTCGTTGTGTCTAACAAACAAATGGAGAACAAAAATATAGTCTTCTCTAAAACTTCGCAACTACATATCAAATATTGACAACACAGCTTCTTTAAACTAACTTAACCATGTTCTCAGCGTAAACGCACTTCCGGATCTTCCGTGAGGACTACCGTTATTATCTTCGTCATTAGTTCTGAACTGGTTTCTCAGCACCACCTACCAGTCGGTGACGCCCCACACATTGAGCGCAAGATAGCGCCAGTGACAAGGACAACAGTCCGAATAGCGAAACCACCTGTACTAAAACCGCGACTGGCGCACGCCGTCACGCCTTAAGTTCGATGTGATGCTGACGTCACCCTCACGTTCGATGTGATGCTGACAACAATCACACGTTCGATGTGATGTTGACACGCGTCTGGCGCCGTAATACGCACATCGCCACTATGGCCGCGCGCGAGCGGCACCCGGCGCACGGCCACGGCAGGCTGCTCAGGCTGCTCTGCCCCTCCCGTGAGCACGGCGACTGCTCTGCTCTTCCCGTGACCACGACCACTGCTCTGCTCTTCCCGTGACCACGGTGACTGCTCTGCTCTTCCCGTGACCACGGCCACTGCTCTGCTCTTCCCGTGAGCACGGCGACTGCTCTGCTCTTCCCGTGAGTACTGAGCGCTGGCGACTCTGTGCGCTCGCTGCCGGGACAGTATCGACAGTGTCGTCGGCGGGACGTCATCAGTACGAGCGTCGTCCTCGGCTCAGTGTCGGTGTGCCGCTGTTCATCCCACGACAGCGACGGGGCCGCTGGCAGGGGGCCGCTGACGTCAGGGGGCCGCCGATGACCCGTGGGGCGCGCTATCGGGCGCCACCGGCCGCGCCGGGCGGCCTGCGGGCCACCGATAGGCTGGGGCCGTCGCCTCGGCCGCTCCCTGACGCCGACGGACGGACGTCTGCAATGGTCTGGTTCAGACCCCGCTGGCGACGACGGCGTTGGCCGGTTGTGCTGCAGCACTAGCTTCTCATCCGGCACGTCGGCAAACTACATGACCGCATGCGTCTTGCAGCCAACCATAGGGCTCTAAGATGGAATGGAACACAGACAGAAGGAGTTGGCTATATCTTGACACGAGTATATTCCATCCACTCAGCCAGAGGGTGGGGAGACTTCGCACAGGTCCACTCCACCTGCTCCTTTGTAACCCTCCCACCGAGAGGCACTATCTGAAGCCGGCAGCGGAATGGTGACGCTCCGAACGTGTACCATGCGCACGCCATTGCGAACGATGCATGTGCCAGCGATGAGCAGCTGGATGGCATTGGGCAGCCAGATAAATTACTTTTGAGATCCATGCAGAAGTCGCGACATCTCCACCTGATGCATATGTCATCTTTCTTTGTTGCCGCACGTCCGTTCTTTACGCTGCAATAGTTCTGCAGAGCGTTGACTACGGCCATGATTCCAGCGGTGCTTTAGACAGTGTTGCGGCGTTGTGGGCCAACACAATACAGCAAAAGCGCCAACGTCTTCACTGCTTTGCGTAGGTTTTTCGGAGGGGAGGCAAGATTTCAGAATTACAATTTTTCCTCTTCCTACAGGGAACAACGTTGGAACCTGGTTCAGTAAGCCCAAACCTTCGCAGGAGCACATTTAGACTGAGCGCTGTACTCTGCAGTCATCCCCCTGCCCCCCCCCCCCCCCCGTACAAAACGAAATTGGTACTCACCGGAGAGCACGAAGACCAGCGAGAAGGCGAAGAAGTCCGGGTAGCCGGAAAGGAAGTCAACGTTGATGGCGCAGCAGTCTCTGAAGGCGCCCTGCATCTTCTTGTCGAATATCGAGTCGACGTATGTACTGTATCCTCTCGCCACGCTGGCAGTTCCTGAAGCAGAGACGTGGCGTTGGACGGCAGTTCGGTGGACGTGCCTGATAGTGGCTGGAGACAACCACGGAGATACCCAACAGCCGCGCAGCTGCGCATGATAACCAGACCCAAAACGGAAATGGCGCCGAAGAATCTCAGCGGTCGCGTCTGGAGAGACGCGCAGTGCTTGAATGTACGGTCATGCTCAAGGCTGAGAGGCGCGACAGCCGTCAAGGCCAGCCGAGCTGCGACCGAAAAAAGATCCACTGCCCGAGCTACCGATCAGTAATCTGGTGCTTAACGCTCCGCTCAAGCAGAACACACTAGACCGTGCGCTTTGCGTCAAACGCGGACTGGTTTAGGCTCAGATACACGTCACGACACACTCCAATCGCTGATATATCACTCGATAATCGACGCACACCCAGCGTGATCGGCGTAACCATCCAGTGCATCTGCACGCGGTCACGCCAGATCAGACGGATCTGTACCTGCAAACCGGCTCCTGTGTAACCTGAACGCACCAGTTATGCTAACTATTGCAATCCACACAATCCACCACCAAAGCCACACGCATACCCGCGCCACTTTCGCCCGCGCCAGAAAGTCGGCGGCACGGCCAATGCTGCACCGCCGCGACCCGCGCGTTAAAAGCGGCAAATTACCCAGCCTTCGAGCCGGTATCGCCGGGTACCGTCCCGGATCCGGGCGTAAAATAAATGGAACATCGCGGCGGGCTGGGGAACAGGTCGGTCCGGCCCGGCTGTGCAGTCAAGCCGCTCGTCCGACGTCGCTCCGTCCTGTCTGGCTCATCTCACGAGCGAAACCGCGCGCGACTGGTTGTGGCGGTGCCACCGGCGACCATACGGCAGCCCGTGAGTCGGCCCCTGACGGCCGGCTACGTGTCGGACGAGCGGGTGTGTCGGTCAGGTGCGCCGCGACCGCGAGCCCGCGAGGTCACGCGACGGTCGGCTGCCCGCCCGGACCGAGCGACCGAGCCCGCTGAGGACCGCCAGTGGAGGCACGCAGGAACCCCGGGACGCCGGCCGCCAGCCGCTGAGGCGGTGACCGTCCCCGGCCACGGGTGCAGAGCCGGGCCGCGCCCCCTGGAACCGGGCCGCCGACGCCGCGCCGTCGGCTCAGAGACCTCCGCCGGCCGCGGCCTCTCCAGATTGTCCCGGCAGGTAGCGTCAACACAGATGGACCCGCGCCTCGTGAAACACCTCGCCCTGGTGAGTCCAGCAGCCGCCGAGTAAAACGGTCACGCGCAGCAGAACGTGAGGCTTCGTTCATCTCAGCAGTGCCCACAAAAAGCAGCGTTTGTGGCCACTGTTCCTGGTAGACCGTCCCCCCGTACGAGTGTGTTAAACACAACCGAGAGAACACGTCACAACACCAGAGCATCTAAAGAGCGTTGCCGTTGTTGCCCACGCAAATCCGGGCGGTCTTCGTCATACACGGCACCATCTTGCTTTGCCTCCTCCTCTCGTTTCGCATGAGACACTGAGCAAACAAGGGAATTTGAGCGAAGGGCTATCTTCTATCGCTGCGGAGCGGCTCGAGCTCGTCCATTACTGCTAAACTTCAATTTTCGCCGCTGAGCGTACACCAAAACATACTTCATCCGAGAGACCAGCCACTGGAGCCTTATCACCCTAAGCCGGCTCGATCGCTACGCAAACACTGAACGTCCCACGCATGCGAGCGCGGAAGCAAAACGACACCGTTCTTGCGTCACTGGCTATAATCCAGACGAGCGCGTGTCAACACCCCGGTCCAGTCTCAGTGTGCAGCCTTGACGTAGAGCCCTATGCGACATTAATGTGAAGCCCCGGGTCTGGCCTTCATGCGCCCCACTCGCCGGACTACTCACCGCTGCTGCTTGCTCACCGCTGCTCACCGCACCGCTTGCTACTCCAGTGCAAGGTGCACGGCTCTGGGATCAGAGTCCACGTGAGGAGTGGCCCGTCACGGGACGTCACGGTATCGGCAGTGCGCGCTGACGTCACGGTATCGGCAGTGAGCGCTGGGTTAGATAATACGCGGGATTACCGTAGTGCTGGGGCCAGGGTGCTACCTGCGAAACTCGTGCCTTCCCGATGGAGAGACGAACTGTGAGATACGAAACATGCACGTCTTCTTCTGTGCCAGCCCAGCCCACGTGCCGCGTGCCGTCACCGAGACTGCGGGGTGACGGCAGTAGCCAGCTCTGGCTGCGGTCGCCGACGTGTCTCATATCGCAGCGCCGCCGGTCATGCCTATTTTGCTTCACCATGCCACATGGCACATAAATGGGATTCCCAGAATATCTCAAAATGCAAATAAAATCGCTTTAAATCCGTCCTCATCACTGGCGCTATCCAAACAGCAGCTCCAACTGGCTCGTTGCTTTCAGAGCAGCGCCAGCATTAGTAATCTGCATGGCATTACTGAACAAGCATCGCCGCCTCTACGGCCCATCTGCTTCCACCAGCCGTGGGCGGTCCGACTGTTCTACGCTCTGTGTGTCCGCTGTATGCACTGATCTATACGAGCCTATGTGCGCGGACGCCGGTGTGCCTCTGCGGCGTTTGAGGTCTGGTCGGTCACGCTTGGAGCGAGTTCTGCATCTCACGAGACACATTGACGCTGAGGCGAGGTCAAGGTCGAGCAGACGATAGGGTCTAGGTAAACGTACATTAAACACACTGATCTTATTTTTCAACGGCAACGAAAACACAGCTGGGGTCCGTCATAACCGTGACAAGAGAAGCCAACACCTTATACGTGTTGAGCTCGGTTGGATTAGAACTGTTCACGCGGGAACGCCACCTTCCCAGCCACGGAACAAAGCAAGGCCACAAACCGCGAGACACTGCAACCCTCCTGCTCATCCCACACTCTGAGCCCTGCCCCGCAGTGGAGTGGCACCGCGCTGTCGGCGTGGACGCGCGAGCGCCCCCACCGGGCTGAGCAATCGGGGCGGCGGGTGATCGACTCGCAGCCGAAGGGTCCCAGCGCACCACCGGCCGGGGCGGCGGGTGGTCGACTCACAGCCGGGGGGTCCCAGCGCACCACCGGCCGGCGCAGCCGCTGGTCGACTCGCAGCCGAAGGGTCCCAGCGCACCACCGGCCGGCGCAGCCGCTGGTCCACGGGTCAAGACTGAATAGGGCGAAAGATTGTGCACTGGACGGCGCGACGGGCGAGGCGCCGGTCGGTGTAGTGAGCGGGTGACCTGGTAGGGCGGGTCTCAGGCTTCCTCTCGCCCCAGTTTCCCCTTCCCCTAGTACCCACTCGTCATCGACGCAACTGGATAATTGCTTACAGGTAAAACCGGACTTCTGACGACTTAAATCACAGTAAACTATCCGCCATGGCGATAAGTGTCTGTAGGACACACGCCAGGAAGTCTCACAGGCGCCTTACATCTACGGGGAAAGCATTCAAGACATCTGCTATGCTTGCGGAGTCGGTGCTGACGCCAAGCACGTTTACTTGGACACGCCAACGGACGAAACTTCTGACCGTCACGACCACCTCCATGCTGTTCATAGCCATATTCTCTAACTCCATACCTAAATATTACTCGCATATGCAGACATTTCACGATACAGACATTTTACGCTCACCAGAAGGTAGACAGCCACGGTGCGGTCCTGCATCCGACAGCACAAACGCCAGCTCTGCTGGGACATGGCGACCGGCGGCCGTATCGAGCGATGTGTGAAGTCCAGCGGTCGCCTTCCGGTTCGTCCCCAGAAGTCGCGGATTGTTCGTGTTGATGTGTCGGCGCGGCTGCCGTAGTTTCACCATAGCTGGTGTAGGCCGGCTATTCGTAGAGAACGTTTCCTTCTCTTGGCGCGTGATCCACGAAAGCTGATTCACTGACACCGCGCGTGTCATGCAACTTACGAGATGGCAAACACGCTCGCAGTTTCTACTCATTATAGTACTCCCGAAGACACGGTGCCGATACCTCAGTCACGGCAAGCGCCTTCAAATTACACGTTGCAGGCGGGCGCAAGCAACCCGTCTCACCCTATGCTCTCCGACCGCCACGCACCAGATGCTATCTTCATTAGTATGCCGCAAAAGGTTTCAAGCCTACTTTTGCCTCTGCGATCTCCCAGCCATATTGCTCAGAAGCCAAATTTCTGAAGGCTTACGGACAGCGCTGTCCCGCCCACCCCTGCCTTCATTCACCGATTCACCACGCCTCCTCGCAACACCTCGCTCGCCTCGCACGCGGCGGCCACCAGCCATGTGTCAGTCGCACGGCTGCCCTGTCTGGCGGCCAGTCCCAAGCACCCGCGAAACCCCGGCTGGATTCCATGCATCGGGTGGTGTGCGTTGGGGTAGCCCCGTCATCGGGCTGCTCGTGCTGTCAGTCCACCTCTTGCCTTTATCCTTGATTTCATACCTAGCTTAAATGGTATGCGAGAGCCGAAAGACCTGACAGCAAACCTGGTCAAACCTACACAGTCTGGCTGACCACTGATTACAACACCGCGACCTTTTCGCGCGAGATGCACCTATCTACAGCATGTCCCGTCGAATGTCCAGAGGAGGAATGTCCCGGTTTAAGCTGTTCGGGTTGTGCGTTCGTTTGTTTAGTCCGCTCTAATTTCCTCCCGGCCGTGCGGCGATTCACTCTGCGAGGCGCCATAGCTCGCTCTTCCAGGCGAACGTGACCAACCGACTTCAGGGACTTCAACTCGGCAGAGGTTACGTCCGTGACTACGGCATTGCTAGGCTTCATTCGTTCAAACACGGCATTTACAGCTGTTTATTTCATGCGGTCCTGCCTATCAGTTATGGCTCGGTATTCATCAGATGCTTTTCACATTAGTGGCACTAGTTTAGCTTTCAATCCAATAAATCCGCAAATATAAATTGTTGGCACTTGCTTCATGACTATAGCTGATGACACAAATTCTGTTCAAGCAAAGTTCTCCTTTAAATTTAGGTAAATTTGGCATTATGACAGCAAACAAAGTCACACAAACCACAACTAACTCATCAACAACAAATCGAAATC